GATAAACAGTACAAGCTGCAGCTTACAGTTACTATGAAAAAATAACCTGGCAAATAACAATATTTTATGTGTTGTATATTTAGATTTTCATGCATGGAAACAATCTGAACAGCTTGCACCAGCTGATCTTGCCTGAGATTCTGCCATCCGAGCTGGGTGGCATGCTGCCTCCTTACGACATGGGCACCTGGGCCAGAACGTTGCTGGACCATGCGTATGACGAGGAGACGGACTACTGCCCCGAATCCTATACCTTGTCTGTCAAAGACCTGGAGAAAGACCTGTCCCCCAAAACTATGAAGAGGTCTGTTACTTGATGTTCTAGCTTTTCAGTGCATCTATTTATCTATTTTTGCAGTTTTATTTAGCATAGTGGAATGTTTTAGTATTATTTATATATATTATTATAGTATTTATGAATATATTAAATTAGCTTTTATTTTTATATTTTCAGTTTTTTGTATTTTTTGTAATTTTTCTTTTAATTTATTGGCTTTGTTTTTTATATATTTTATTTAGCTTAGTTTATTTTTAATTCATTTTTTAGTTTTAGTCAATTTAATACTTCAACTTATTTTTTCAACTTATTTAACTTTATTTCAGTCAGTTGCTAAGGCAAAATGTTTCGTTTTTAAGTTTTTTAAGTTTAAATTTCATATAACATTATTTTATTTGATATATTTTATTATATATTTTATTTTCAGCTTTATTTTAGTTACGCCAAGCAATTTTTAATAGTTTTAATTTTAATTTTAGTTAACCTGAACACTGGTGCTCATTGAAACAAGCACGTGAGGTCACCAAACTGGCCATATTATGTATGTTGTTGTTTATTTCTAATACGCTTGTTGAATGACATCATTTGGTGGCTTGCCATGGAAACAGCATTTGCTTGTTCGCAGTCTTCATTCAAGTAGAATGATCAAGAGAGTCGCTCTGGATAACAAAAATAAGCAGCTTTGCTAGGGGCGTAAAAGAAGCTGCAGCGTTTGTCAAAGGAGTCACATTTGAGCTGCACACTGTATGTTTCTTCTTGGTTATGGTGCTTAGCAACCGACTCCCTAGTTTTATGATAAAATGCAGCTCTTCTTAATAAAATAAGCATTTTGGGATGATCTTACAGTCTGGGTTTGACCCAGCGACTTGAGCTTGTTTCACTGATCAAGACAGGGTGAGGTGTCTCGACTTGCTGGGTCATGAAATCAGCACGAGGGAGTGAAGCCGCTGCAATGAGCTGCGTTAAATGATGCACTGTCTATACATGGACACATATAGAGCGTTAAAAAAAAACACGTTATAGAGGTTTACCTGTGGCAAACATATTACTTTCTTTCTTTGCCTTCTGCAGCTGGGGCTGTACTTGTACGGAGACGTTGGCTACCAAATATAGCAGTTTGCAATGGCTTATTTGGCTCTCACATTTAAAGCAACTGTTTGTAGTGTTTGAATTCTACCAAAGCATCTGGGGGATGCAGTATTTGGAAGAAAGTAGGTCTTAGATGTTTTTCTATTGCTAAGATCAAAGTACTGTTCCTTAAACAGCTTTGGCTATTAAACTAAACCTCCCAGTCCACGCATAACACATCTATGTACATAAAAAAAATAAGCTTTGGCGGAATCCTGCACCCTGTATTGTGAATTATTCTCTAGTGCTGTATTATTAACATAGTTTATCATGTTTTAGATGTGGGAACAGATCGCTGGTGATGATCTATATATATATTGATATTCAATTCCATCTATGGACACAGTCACAATCAGGTCATATATTGGGGCTTTGGTTTACAACAGTGAGAAAATGATCCCATTAGACTCAATTAATAATTTATTTGAGCTGTAATAAAATCTGCTTGAATGTAAAAATACACATTTCATCTTATCACCTATAATCTGTCATAACTAAATTGCTTGTGTGCACAGCAGTTTTTGTATAGTTTATTTTATTTAATCAAAATGTGAAAAAATAGAATTTGGGCATTTTTAACGATTTTTTTCTTTCTAAAAATACCCAAATATTTTATGTTTTTATTCATTATCCCCATATGATAAACCATGTGTCCAGTACATGATGCATTGTTGACTACACACATACACATACACATACACATACACATACACATACACATACACATATATACATATATATATATATA